CCTCTATTACCATCGTGTTTTGCACCTTCCTCTGCTTAGAGCATTTTATCTTATTACGCAGATGAATGTGTACATGTCTCTTCAGCAGTTAAGCGCTAAGACCACTGTGAGTGTGAGCTGTGTCTTACTTGTCCCTGTAACTTGGCACTTAAGCTCAGAGCCTTAAATATAATAAGTGCTTGTGCATGTGGTAAGTGAATGACTCAACTCAATGGCATAGGGTGGAGTTAAATTTCATGAATATTTTGTCCCTTTTATTCAGACGATGAAAATTTTTTACTCTATTTCATTATGTAACATTTATACACGTTAAGCATGAAGAACACAATGAACATGTTTATCCCTATCCTAATCAATAAGCATAATGTCATTAATAGAGATATAAAGTTTCCCTTGTATCTACACTGGAATAATAGAAGATATCTTGTAAACGTGTGTGTCATGTGGGGCTGGGCTCTGTAAGTCCCCTGTGTACTGTTTCCATCTAGTGTGTGCACTGCTGAAGTAAAGCAGCAGGTCATGAGCTGCTACTTGCCTTTCAGGGTTGTCCTCGGGTCACAAGCTGAAGCAAGGCAAAGTTCCTTTCTCAACTGCCCTAATTACATGTGGCACCTGTTCAATTTCTTTCTAGGTAACTGTCCTTCTGTAGTTTTCCCATGGAATCCAAAATAAAGTTTCTGAGGGTCAAAATAAGAAAAAGGGTGGTGCAGAATAACCCTCCCTGAAAAATTCAGTGTCCTGCAGACCTTATCCAATTTGTGATTTTTATGTGGCTGAAAGACAGGGAGCAGCTATGGCATTGTCAGAATGAGGGACTGGAGAAAACAGTTTAGTGACTTGCCAAAGTTCACTAAATCAATCAGTTTGGGAGCCAAACTTTTAGCTTGCCAATTTGACCCTGGGTCTCCTTCCAGACCCCCTTTCCTGGATGCAGGATGAACTTTCTTCCGTGTAGGAAAAACATTGTTTTCATCATGCGCCTGTACTTCTCTTTCCTCTATTCTCTACTTCAGAATAAGCACAAGGCATTCCACTTAGACCTTTCAATCAGCAAATTTCACTTTCCTGTGTGATTCAAACTAAAATGAGGAGGTCAGTGCTTATCATCCTCCTATTCATGCAGCTCTATTTTCAGATGACTAATCATGCGCTCTGCTCCATGATGTGCCCACTTCATCGCGGCTCTTCCTCTTCACTTATCCATATTCTAATACACTCATTCTCTCCCCTCTTTCCTCTTTGTATTTCTCTTCCAAAACTCAAACCTATTCTCTATCTTCTTTCTTTTACTGTTCAGCTTCTCTTCTATCCTTCCCCAGCCTTTCTCTGTTCCTCTGCTACTATTCTCTTGTTTTCACGTTTTTATTTTTGTTGGCACATGTTTGCAGCCCACGGTGATGACACTCATCGTGTGGAGCTGGTACATGTACATAACACATGTTCATTTTCTCACCCCCCTCCGATTCCCTCCCTCCCTCTCTCCTCATTTCTTGGTCTCCTTCCCTTTGGAAAAAGATTTATCTCCCTGTTTTCTGTTATCATTTACTTTGCTCTTTATTTATAGTGTGGATTTCTCATAAAAGAGAAACCATGCAACATTTAAGCTTGCACGTTTGATTTATTTCACTTATCATTATGGCCTCAAGGTGCATCCATTTTCCTACACATGACTGAAGTTTATCCTTCTTTATAGCAGAATAGTACTCTGTTGTGTATAAATACCACATTTTCTTTGTCTATTGGGTTTAGTCCATACTTCCACAAGCTTCTCTTCCGCTGACTACTCTCTTGGACCCTTCCACACATCCTCCTCATTATCCCATGCCTCCATCTACCTCACCTCATAATGTTTTTTTCTGTTTACATCTACTGCATTCCATTCATAACACAATTGTGTGAATTCACATTTCCTCTCCAAATTCTTCTCCTTTCTGCACTTTAATACAAGCATGCCTCTCTTCCATGTATTCCTCTATTAATGCTCTACTCTCTCCAAATTCTCCTTTACGTCTTATAACTATTCAGGTCTCTCTCCTGTTCTATCCAGCCATGACAGTTAAGCTGCACTATCAGCTTCATTGGCTTGGGGCTGCTTGGGGGATTAGTAATGCATGCTTCTGGGTGTGTCTGGGTGGTCATGAAGACATGAGCTTGGGAACTGTGTATGGCCCCTGGCCCCTTCCTCTTTGACACTGTTCCCCTGCTCTGATTCTGCTGCCATGGAACTAAGCAGCTTTACTCCACCACACCCTTCTGCCATGATATTTCTGCCTCAGAGCCAGCTGATCTGGAGCTGAACCTCAGAAATAGGAGCCAAATAAACCTCCCCTCCTTTAAGTTGTGCACAGTAGGTACTTTGTCTCAGCGATGAAAAAGCTGACTGATACGCTTCAAACCGCCCTTTCAACATTTATTTTTTTTCATGCAGTGTGAGATGCGTCCATCTCTCTTCACAGGTAAAACTCTACCATCCCTTATGGTTTCCTCTGGAAACTTTCTTTCCACATATTATTACTGTTGTCTCTTCAACCTTTACTTTTCTGTTACACCATTTATGCTGTCGAATAAAAATGTGCCAGTCTCTCTACTGCAAACAAGGGCAGTCTCTTTTACCATGAATGTAGCCATTATACACCCCTCCCTTTCATTTTCAAGGAAGTTTTTGGAAAGGATTCTCTATATTCACTGTCTCTACTGCCACTACACCAACTCTTAAAAACTCTTCGTTGTACAACTTGCACAAATCTTATCACAGTGGTCAGAGGAGGCACCATGGCAAATCCCATCCTAACAGTTAATGGTTTACATCCTCCCTCAGAATGGACACATGCTATTTACACACACTTTTGATTGGCCACAAGAAGGCATTTGTTCATGCCCAACTTTAAGGCTCAAGGCAGCTATGACACCACCATGTACCCAGAAGGAAGCAAAGTGGGAAATACTGGAAAGTGGTGATACTGACTACCACACTTAGCTTTCAAGACAGAGTGCACTATGACTTTATTTACACTTCCCTGACTTTTCTTATAGGTCTCTTTCATAGTTTCCTCCATACTCCTGCCTGACTTAATGATAATCATGCTGCATGGTTGAATCCTTGACATGATTTTCCTTTCTGGAAGTGATCATATCCATTCTCATGGTTTCAACTTGTTCCAAAATGCTAACTACTCCAAACTTTATATCTCTAGCTCATGTTTCTCCCCTGATCTTAAGACTCAATATACAATTGTTATTAGACATTTTGCCCTGGATAGTCTCCAATCTTCTTAAACCTTATCTTAATTCCAAGATTAACATTACAAATTTATCTAAATTTGAACTAACTTTATATGGCCCATCCTAGTTTGCAGTACCAACACTACTCATGTTATTTGGGTGTCCATAGTTGTTTTTTTTTTTTTATTGTACCAGGAGTCAAACTCAAGACCTTGCATTTGCCAGGCAGGTGTGGCACCAGCCCTGGGTTCCTATGATCTTGACACTCCTCCTTTTAGTTATTTTGAACTTGTCTATATTTAGTGCCTATTCTCTCAGTATATTACCTTTTTCCATCTTAATCCACTGCTCTGAATTACAACTTTATTACTACCCTGCTAGGTGATTCAGGCTGTATCCTAGCCATTTCCCTAATTTCAGTCTCATTTCCTTCAAATATATTCTTTTCACAGTAACTACATTGCTGTGTGTAAAATACAAAACTAATCAACTCATTCTTTTGGTTGAAATGTCTTCCATTCCCTGAAATTGCTCACTTGGTTTTCTGTCTAGAATGTCCTTCCTCTCTTCCTGCTGCCCTTACCCACACCTTCCATCTTCCATTTCTGTTTATACCCTTTTGTTCTCCTAGTCTGTGTTTCTCTCCTACTCTATGTGCATTCCTCCTCTAGTTGCTCATCTCCTCTCTTGTCTACATTTTCTCTTAACTCTTCATTTCTAAGCATTTTTCCCTGGGCATCTTTCTGTGTCCCAAATTCTTGTAGTAAAAACAGCAGTAAATATCAAATTTTAAAAGGGCCTAATATGCAGGCAAACTGCATATTAGTTATTCACCACCTGTTTCCCAGGCATGCATTGAGTTTCACTGTAAAAAATGCAAATATATAAAACTGAATTAGCCATGGAACCTGCAGTGAAGGATTGCATTTATCCACCCAATATAGATTCACTCTGCTACCCAAACTTATTAATGTGGGAGGATACCACAGGAAGTGACAACTGCAGCTGAGGAGCTGGCAAAAGGATACAGAACCACCAAAGTTACCAGTGTTGGGGCAAAGAACCTTACTGCATTGCAAGCACTCCAGTTATTCTTTTCATTAGCAAATTTCAAGGTCTAATAACTCTAATGATAGTAATAAGTCATGAAATATATAAAATTGGTCTTTTTGCAACTGAGGTAGACAAGTATGAAATACATCTTATATTTTATGTATAGTATATTTCAATAAGATAAAATCTGAAGTTGTAACTCCTTAGACTCCCCAGGCAATGTGGTATAAAATAAATATTGCTCTATTCTTATTTTTGTACATAAAACATTGCATGTTTTAAAAATATCTATCATTATTTCATCAGAATCTCACTATTCCGCATCATAGGGTTACTGTGTTGAAGCAGTTAAGCCCAGTACATTCTGATGATTACAGAGGTCATGCTTATGTATGTGTTATAGTGAGTTTGTATATTTAAGTGCCCTTGAATATGTATGTGCCTGTGTAGCAGGCATGTGTGTTTTTAAGTATGTATACATTTATATAATATGAACATATATCTCTGTGTATCTAAGAATGATTATATGTCCAACTATCTATTTATATGTGTATCTAGTATATCTGGGTCTGTATATGTAGTGCTAGTGTATTAGGAAGTATAATCTGCATTTCTATTCTATAACCTTAAGGAGTTTTCAGTGGCTACCCTAAAACCTGCCACTTTCCACCCTAGTAATACCCTCAATATACTATGAGTGAGACCTCAACATCCCGTTCTCTGACCTCATTGTATAAAGGAGGGTCCCGTTGTCCACCAGTCTGAGCAGCTTGTTGGGTGTGGTCATATTATGAGCCACTGATTTCTTGCCATTGTGGAAGAAGGTATCAGGAGTCCAGATCTTACTAGCCAGGAGATTGTTCAGTGGGAGGATCTTCATGGGTCCATCAAATTTCAGTCTTTCATCATGCCAAGTTTGTCTAAAAAATACATCAATAGTGTACTCCTGGGGTGGGGGGAGAGAGAGAGAGAGAGAGAGAGAGAACAATGTTTTAGTAGAATTTTGGTGAGAGCCCTCACATCCCTTAGCAAATAATAATTACCTGGCAATATTTCCTCCAATATAAAAGAGCACTAATGTGTTGCAGTAATTACTGATAAATAAGGCAAAATGATTATGGTTGAAACATGAAGCCATGATGAGCTATAAGTATGGAAATAATATAACTTACATGTTTTGTATTAGGACAATCACTACCAACACTGCCTCACTCATCCTGCAAGCTGTCTACCAGATGGCCTGGTGAAAAGGCAAGTGGCCTTCTCCATCCTGTGACAGCTCTAATAGGAGCATACTGGATACCTTGTCTTCACTCTTGGATAATCCCACATGGGAGTCCATGTTCACCATAGAAATAACCATAAAAGCAAACCTTATACTTTAACACAAATTTTACCTGAGCATCAAAATAACAATGGGTTAAGATATTTCCTTCAATACATAATTAAATCTTACAGCTAAACCAGATACAAAGCATCCACAAATAGAAAAATGGGAAAATGAACAGAAAATTAATAAAATGAATAAAATTATTAATAAGTGAAAAAATTCAAAATTTGTGTCAATATAAAAACAGATTAAACAGCAATAAATGCTTCACTGTTTGGTAATAGCAGAATAAATAGCTTGAGTACATCTTCCTTTAGCTGTAATTAGGAAATATGAACAACTATGTCCATTACCTGAAAGCAATGGAAAATCACAAAAATCAAACAGAAACTTCAAGTTAATTTACACTTGGAAAATAGCAGCAGCAATGTATCAGAATTGTGAGTTAGTGTTTTTTCTTTCCTGAAGGTAATCCCCCAAACCTAGAATTCCTTGAGGAAATATATGACAGACTTATTAGCTTAAAGTGGCAGGGAACCAGGAATATTAGGGGTGAGAGTGCTGGAAACAAAAGGTTCACAAAAGTGATGGGTCCCCAAATCTGGGTATTGTCTCGGCTCCAAATCCTGGCTGACCACTGTGCTGCAGGCAAATGCAGGAAACCCTAGGAACCACTGAGAAGCAGGCAGGAATAGAAATATATCAAAGGAAATGATTAGGACTGGATGGTGAGCCGAAAATGCTTGGGAAGTTTCTGGAAGGAAGAGAACCATTGAGAGGATGAGTCTTAAAATCTAAGTACAAATTCGCCTGAACTTTTGACTGTCCACTAAACTACACAAGGTACAGGCAATAGTTCCAGTTAGGTTTATCTATTTTTATTTTTATTAGTGCATGTTTATAGAACATAATGATTCCATTCCTCGTGGGGAGTTGGCACATGTACATAACATGTCTTCATTCCTTTTTCATCCCTTTCCCTTCCCCTTCCTAAACCCTCCCTCCATCTCTTGGTTCCTTTCCCTTCTGCAAAGGGTTTCTCTATTTCCTAGTATCTATCTTTTTCTTTCTTTATTTTTTTTTTATTTTCTCCAGAAGTTGCTGTAAATCCTTTAGTTTAAAATCCTCTAATAGCTCTAATCAGACCTCAAATACATTTTTCCCTGACATGAGCTGGTCCTTGCCTTTCTAGAGGAAATCTCCACTCTTCCCTCTACAATTAGCCAATCTTGCTTTTCTCTTCCTCTAGCATAGCAAGTACATCCCTGACTATGAATGGAAAGTTAACATAATTTATTATCTAAACTAAAACACTTTTAACAGTGAGAGGAAGCTTTATAAATAACCAGGACAACAGGTGTAAACTCCGACTCTGCCAGAAGAGAACATAGAACAAAACTCCCACACAGAGCCATGATCCTGAAAGGCTTTTGCCCTCAGCAAAAGGATGAAAATTATATAAAATTAACTAGAAAAAAATCATCCCACAGCACCAAAATTGAAAAACTAGGGAAAAAGGAAAAGTATTTATACTGAGATTGAGTAACTTTAAGCTTCATCTTAGTTTGATGTTCAAAGGTACATTGTGTGCTTGATCTAACGCTTTCAAACTAAGAAATTAGCATAAATTGGTCTCAGGCTGAGGGTATTACTGCATTAACTTGAAAAAGCCAGCACAAAAACACTCTGGAGGGACTAAAGCACAAATAAATGCTTGCCAATAATAAGCTCCCAATCCGCCAGAACAAAACACCTCAGGAAATGACTGTGAGCAAGAGTCAGCTGATACAACATATCATCAAATTAGACTCCCTCCAAGGACTTCCCGTAACAGGACTGTCTATTAGGGATTATGAAAGAAGTATAATTAACATTAAAAGGGAAGGGGAATTAAAATTGGAAAAAGGGAAGAAATAAATGGCAAATTTGTAAAAGGTCTATTTGACGTCAGCCTTCTCTAAAAGAAAAGGTGATTGGAAATAAAAACATAATGAATGTGTTACGTAGCAGATTGAATGTTACTGAAGAGAGATTAATGAACTGGAAGATACATATGAGGACAAATTTATCAGTTTACTTTCAGACAGACAAATGATCGAAAATATGAGAGAATAAATCTCTCTTGTTCTTTCAAGGAAGATAAAGGTTTAGCCTGTGTAGTAAGGTCCTAAATGTGAGAGAATACATAAAATGGTGGAGGAGCAATATTGAAAGTACCAATGGATGAAGTCTCTCAGAATTGTTAAAATATGTGCATCCTTAGTCTCAAGAATCCTAATTGACCCAGTACATAGCAGATTTTAAACGTACCAAAGAAGTCCCAGCACTCTGGGAGGCTCAGGCTGGAAGATGACAAGTTCAAGTCTAGGCTGGACAACTTAGTAACTGAGCAAGACCCTGTCTCAAAAATAAACTAATAAAATAAAAAATTTTTAAAGGGCCGGAGATGTAGCTCAATATAATGGCCCATGTTCAATCCTCAGTACTGCAAAAAAAGACATATTACCTACCAATAATATAATTTTGATTGATAACAGACTTCTTAAAAACAACAAAAGCCAAAAGAATACATCCTCAAAATGCTGAGAAAAATACCTGTTAACCTAGAATTCTGTAGCCAACTAGATCATCATTTCAGAGCAACATCAATATGAAGATAATTTTAGTCAAATAAAATAACACAGAAAATTTACTACTAACAGGTCCTCATTCATACCTCAGATTTTCCTATGGCTGGGTCACTCAGCCTACAGGTCTCATTGGAAAGTCGCCACATCACAGAGGCATTTCTTGACCAATTAATCACAAATATTAATCTTTTTCCCCTTATCATGTGTTGTTTCTTTTTTTATATACACTGACAAAATTTATCTGTTTCTTATTTCTTTCATTCCAGGAGGCTAGGTGTTCTGGAAGAGTAAGGGCTTTGTTCTGTTTGTTGCTTACCCCTAGTACTAAGCATTACCTAATAATATACAGTAGATTCTCCACAGGCATTTTCAAAAAGTAAATGATTACAATAGAGTCTCTGTAGACATTTTCAATAAGAATTGAAGTTTCATGGAAAGGACTATGAAAAGAATTTCTTCATGCAGTTGAAAGTGAAGCTACCAGTAATATGCACCAAAGAATGGCAAGTATACACATTGACAAACTTATAAATAAACTAAACAAGTAATGGCTATCTACAAAATGATAGTAGAGGGCATAAACGTTAAGGAAAGTAATTAATAAATACATTTTGGCAAATCCTAGTCAAAACAAAGGTAGTAGACCTGTAAAATATAGATAAAATTGACCGTAGGTAAAACATTTTTCTTTGGAATAAAATACCATTACATTTTAAAATGGAGTATCTCAAGCAAAATATATTAACAACTCTAACTTTGCAAGTACCAATAACATGGAGTCAAAATATACAAGATGAAAACCAAGTTACAAGGAAAAGTCAACAAACCCATATGCTTCTACTAAGTGAAGACCAATCAGGTAACCAATTTCCATGTTAAAATTATAACTCAATTGACAAGACTGAGCCAATGAACACACATATAGACTTACTTAAATGCAATGTGCTGAGCCATACAGCAAAGTTCAAGAAACACAAAAACATACCATATCCTAGGGACAATCTTCATTCAATATGAGATATTAAATGAGGGATTATTAACAAAATAGTTTTTACATTTGAAATTTGAAAGACATGCTACAAAAATTTGAAGAAACAAGGAAGAAACCAGAAAGGATATTAGAAAATACTTGTAACAACAATGTAAGTATTTATATATAAAGTCTTATTTTGAGTGCCTGAAGGGGTGCATGAAGGGAAACTGATACCCACAAAGTAGGCTTGAAATAGCCTTTAAGGAAAAGAAAAATCAACAAGCTAATCTACCTAAAGAAGATCACAGAGTTACCCAAGCAAAGTAAAGAAAAAAATGCACATAAGAGCAAGTATCTGTGAAACAGAAAACAAAAAGAAATGATGCAAATGATGAAAACACCTAAAGAACAGGATGCTTTGAAAACAGTGAATTTAATCATGAAAAGGAGACAAAGGAAGAACATTTGTGGGAAGGGTGGGAATATAACAGATTATAAAAGTCACAGAAAAGTTGACAACTTTTTGAAGGGGGTGATGGATACATGAGGTTCGATAATTATAACACATTTCTATACTGTGAGTTCCTCAGTAACAGAGGGATTGTTCCATGAACTTCAAGGGTACCAAAACCTGTGGATACTCAGGTCCCTTCTGGTATTTGCATACAACCTGCACATATCCTCCTGTATACTCTAAATCACTTACAGATTGCTAGGAGTACTTAATACAATTTAACTGTTATGTGAATACTAGTTAGACTGCATTGTTTAGGGAATGATGACAAGCAAAATGTATGTGTTCAGTATAAATGCAATTTTTTCAAATATTTTCACACTGCAGTTGGTTGAATTTGTGAATGGGGCCCATAGATATAGACAGCTGATTCCCCACCCCTTCTGTGTGTGTGTGTGTGTGTGTGTGTGTGTGTGTGTGTGAAATCTCACAAGTAGTCTGTGGAAAGTACAGTTGATTTTTGCACATTGTATACATGCATTGAATTATCACACTGCAC